GGAAAAGAAATGGTCCCTTTACCACGTCAACTTTTTAACACTTCTTCCTTTTTGACATTGGTCTGTTGACAGTTGCAGTCTTTCTTGTGAAGATGTAATTTTTTAGTCAAACAGCTCTAGCAAGGAAGCCTAAGACCCTAAAACAGCTGACTGACTAGTGTCAAGGGGTCTCACTGAATTAGACAGATCAGAGGCTTGACATGGGAGTTCCTATATCCCAAATGAATGCCACCATCACTGGACTGTTAAGCTGCTTTGGGGTGTTACATGTGCTCCTTGCCTGCCTTTCTTTACCCTACATCCTAGCTGTGTGATTTAACTGCTGAATGATTGACTATTCAGGTTGGGAGCCCTTCCTCCCTTACAAGAAAATCAGAAGTCTTGGTTTCAGTCCAGTGTGGAACAGGAACATTTTTTAAAGTTTTTATGGGACAGCAAAACCCTCCCTCCCCAGATCAGAGTAAAATACAAGTCTGCACATGGAATTGATTGTCACTAATGCTATACTCTGTGGATATTGGTTTGATCAAACAGTTGTTATGCTCCCTGTAACAGTGCCTCGTCTAATATCAGGCTTAAAAAAGAAAGTTTTGCTGGATCTTCCTGACAAGAAGTGAGTTTTGATGCGGTCCCTAAAGAGATGCTGTACAGTGTTCTCTGCATGTGTGTGTGTGCTCTCACTGTCCCTTAGCTGCCACTCTAGGCGACTGATTGGGAGTAGCTTAAGAAGTATGCTTGTAGAGTTCTGTTTTGCTTTTAGCAAATGAAAAGCAGATGTGTTTGGCATACAAAATGAGTAGTAAAATGAACTATAGCAGAGGGCAGTAATGGGTCAAGAACACCTTTCCAGAGCACTGAGTTTTCCCTTTACTTGTATGACTGGATTCTATGGGAGGCCTCTGGGTGCAGACCTATATTTAAGGGGTGTAGGTTGTAGCTGTGTTGGTCTAAGGACATCGGCAGGCAAGGTTCTTTGGGTGAATCTAATATCTTTTATTAGACCAACTTAAATAGTTGGAAAACAATTATTAAGCAAGCTTTTGGGTTCAAAAATCCTTTGTCAGGCTGGGGTTTTTGAACCCGAAATCTTGCTTAATAATTGTTTTCCAACTATTTAAGTTGGTCTAATAAAACATATCAGATTCACCCAAAGAACCTTGTTGACCTATATTTAAGACTGTTGTGGCATGTATGCGCCATGTAGCTTCAAGATAAGTCATCAATGTTTCCACAGTGGGGAACTGATTTAGCTGTGGTAGAGGTAAGGTTTCCCAGCAGAGCTGGACCTTGGGGGTAGGGATCAAATTTGAGTGCTAGACTTCTGCAGTATGAATAAAGCATCCAAGCTTGCATGTGTGCAAGCCACGCTTTCACATGCGGCACTTCTTAAACCGCAGCCATTTGCTTTTGCTTCAGGGCATCTTGCATATCAAAAAGAAAGACTACCAGTTCCTGATGGCAACTAGCAAAGCACATCCCAAGTCGCTTGTAAATGTACTGCATCAGTTGATATTAAAACTAAAAATGTAGCTTGAAGCTGTGTTACTGCTCAGTGCAACTATGCAAATCTGGAAGTATGACTTACAATAAAAAATGTGTCCATATTCTTTACGGTATTTTGACTTTTATAGAGAAGCTTTGTGGAGTTCAGCTATCTTTCTTTTACATTAAGAGCCAAAACCTGACTATTGGATCTGTCCCCCTGTTCAAACTGACCTGACAAGCAATCAAATGTTACACAGAGGCTGGGGGTTCACTGGGTGACCTACAGCTGGCATAACTAGCTCTTTTTGTGCATTGATTTGTTTGTTGTGAGATAATGGAAAGTTCAGCATGATGTGTGCCTGCGGTTCCCAGCTAGCAGAGTAGTCCCGAGAGGTCCACACTGGCCTGAATGACTTGGAGCAGACCTTTTGCTGATTCAGCCCATGCTAGGGTGTCTTTTGACACTTTCAGAAGATCTGGGAAACTGACAATTGTTCTAGCACATTTGACTTCTTTCTGGGTCCTCACAGATTGTAGCTCAACCAGATTGACATCTGATCTGGTCTGTAGGCTGTCTTTTATTCTTCTGTCTGGGAAACAGGTTTTCAGCATTTTAATTCCATAGATGGAGATAATTTATAGAAATCTGAATTGCCAATTTCTGTTTGTTTGTTGGTTGTTTTTTTTTGTGAGGGGAGTTAATCTGAGATCACTAAAACGAGATGAAATGGATTTGTCTCTCTTGTTACCACCTAGGTTTGGTACTGAATCTACAATGAAGTTTGGAGTGAGGGAGTGGTCACAAGCATGATGAACCTAGATTTTGAAACCTAGTTTGTGTTTTTGAGAGAACCTATATCTAACTGAGCGGGATCCATTGAATCTGAATGAGAAAGAGAGTTTAAGAATCTGAGAAGTTATTTGGAGAGGTTACTGTGGAGGAGAGCATGGCTCACTGTTAGTTTTGGTAATGCTGACTAGATGCAACAGAAGAGGCTCACAGTGTGCTAGGCTACTAAGTTGAAAAAGGTTGGGGGAAATGCTATAACATGGGGGACAGAACTGAGTATAGCACAGCAGGATTTAGAACCCTTTTGCCTCTAGAAACCAGGGCTTTGGTATATTTCCCATTTAATCTCAGGTTTTTGAGGCAGGCTTGAAACTGAAAACTACAGAACTGTTTAAAAAATAGTGATAGTCATATGGTTGATCCCCTTTTTCCCCTGGTTTCATATTGATGATGACTTGGTCAACCACATATCCAGGGCAGGAGCTCCCCACCAGCCGTCCATATTCCGGTTAGGTTATTTTGACCATTTAGGCATTGACAAATCCAAACATTTCACCCTTTAGTTCAAATTTACTTTGTAGGCTTGAAGGGAGATTGAGTCAGCTGCAGTCAGCAAGAGTTCAGTGAAGCTTTTTAAGATCTACAGAGCTAAATACTGAAGTCAGGTCATTAGTGTAACATCCTTTGTGGTCTGGGTGGTGGAGTCAAAGAGGGAACCTGGACCTGGATGAGTTGGATGGTTCCTTGCTGAGGCCAATACACCTGACACTGTGATCTCCTTTTAAGGCCAATCTGCTAAAGAGAACCGGCAGTAGCCAATGCCATCTAACCTCTTCTCTGAGTTTTTAGTTGGCTCTTGTTTTCACGTTTACTTAACTATCTGCAGTATCCCAAAGACGGCATTTTTCATGCTTCAGATGCATTACAAAAAATCAGCTGAACAGATATGAATAATAGATGTAAACAGAAGGAAGCATTTGCTTAACTCTAGGCCTGCCACCTAATAACTGAAGTACTGAGCCATTTTTTTTTTTAAGTTAACTCTTACTGGTTCTCACCCTCTCTCTCTAGGAAAGCAGACAATGGCTTTAGACAACCGAGTCACCAGCACTTAACTGACATTTACAGCTCTTTGAAGTTTTGCTAATTTTGTAATGGTGGTTAAAGTGCACTAATTTCAATCTGTAAATATAGATGGATAATAATTATGCATTTTTTGGGATTCAGGACATGGGGCTAGGGGATGTTTCAGTGAAGCTCCTGGAAACTGAGTGTTAATTGCAGGGATCAAGCTCTTGTGGCTCTATACTAAATGCTTTTTCAGCTATTTTTATTCACTTTTTTATTTTGTAGTCTCTCACCTGTCTCAGATCCTCCCCCTCCCTGTTGCCTTGGAAACATCCACTAGTAGCAGTTAAATTGTACTGCTAACATACATTTTCCTGTAGTAGAATGGTAATAGCTAATATTGACCTAGCTGCTAGTGCTGACTCAGGGATACAGTCATACATATAATATCTTTCCTTGCTCCTCTTAATGCATAATGCATCAGTCTTTCACCTTGGGTTGCTTGGTAAAGGTGATATCCAGTCACAGTTAAGTATTTCTATTTGCTTTTTAATGCCTTTCCCTACTGAAATGCTGGATTTGGCTGATATGAGAAACTATCTTTTGAACACTGCACCTAGTTTGGAACCCAATGTCAAGGGAAAGCAAGGAACATGAAACTTTTGGTGACTGACCTTTACGTGTAGGAACTGGAAATTTGTTTCCTGGAGTGAGAAGACCTGCACATAAATAGAAATGTTTGCTCTGAGCACATTTGTTTATTCAAATCTAACTGTAGAGATCCCATAACTTTTAAAAACTATAGCATTCTGCAACATGAATGAGAAAACGGTTGATGCAAAAGAAATAACTATGTTAATTTAAAGATTTTAAAAAGTGATTTAGTTCAAATGCACCCATAATGAATATCTGCCTTGGGAATGCCACATGGTAACGTGGTCTTCTGGAGTGTACTATAGCTGTATGCCTGAAACATTAGCACAGAAACAGGAATCTTAACTGCAGAAAAATAAGGATTGAAAGTCATTCCTCAAGGCATTGCCGTAAGGGTATTTACTTTGAAAGCATTTTCCCTTCTATTTTTCTACAATGCTTAATAATTCAAGTCTATTTATTTCAGTTTTCTGAATCTGAAAAGATGACATCCAGATCTATATCTCTACTGTTGACCTGTTCTTTTAAAAAAAACCCCTTAGTATTAGAAGGAATGCAATGTATACAAGTATGCTGGGATCTCAGCCATTTAATATCATCAGTGTTGTTTCTGAATCCACATGGTACATAAATAATACCTCATTTCAGAAGCAGTATCATAATGCCTGCGCAATATGAGGACTCCGGATGGATCATTTACAATAAGGATTGAACCGAGGATCTTTATATCAAACAGGCCAGGCATATAAAGACCTTGGGTTCTATAGCTCAGAGACTATAGGAGACTCATCAATTTCTAGGTATAGATTATCCATTGGAGGGGGTGGAGGGGAAGAAAAGAGTATTATCCTGGATCTCATGGCAAATTTTATTTAAAACCTATTCTGGGATTACCCCAGATGTAATAGACTAAATGAGCCAATGATTTCGAGAAGTGATGATGTGTAGCATATCTCTGTGTATTCTTAGATTATTTATTTTGCATCTGTTTACCCTTTTGTAGAGAAAATCAGGCAAAGATATGCTGATCTGCCAGGAGAATTGCACATTATCGAGCTTGAAAAAGATAAGAATGGGCTTGGACTCAGCCTTGCTGGTAACAAGGACAGGTCTCGTATGAGCATCTTTGTGGTTGGCATCAATCCCAGTGGCCCCGCAGCGAGAGATGGAAGAATGCATATTGGTGATGAACTTTTAGAGGTAAGTATTTTCTCTGACTATATAATGGGTTGGTATGGAGAGAGGGGAGCCCAGAATCCTGTGAGTTAGACCTTAAATGAACATTTGGAGCCAGTGCCTAGAATTTTATTAGCTCATGACAAGCAAAGAGAACTGCGCTTTGAGTGGGCAAGTGTGTTTCCAAAGACAAACAAAAATCACAGACTACTGAAAATTGAGTGTCTGGTCAGGGAGGTCTGTGCTGATAACTCTGTTCACAAACTATGCTTAGCAAGACACCCCTGAAAGAGGAGGAAGAAATAGTAACTTCCTCTTTATGCTGTTTCCCAGAAAAATGTATGCTTTTGTGGTTGACAACCATTCCCCCAGTTCTCTGGCTAAAAACAAAATACAGTGCTATGTTGTTGTCCATTTTGATCAGTTATCATTTAAAATTGCCACTTTTTTCCATAGTCATATTGAACACCAGTTATTCCACAGAACAGGAACTTTTACCAAAAATGCAGTATTTCATCTTTGTGCTCTCCTCTTCTCCAACACTCTTTTTCCATTTTGCACTATCCCATTTGATGTTTGACTGCTGAAGAGCAGCACTGTTTGCTGAAGTCTTCTGTTCTTCCTGCAGCATTTCCCACATCATGACTGCTCCACAGGCTTGAAAACTCATTCAACCCTGTGGATTTTTCCCTTGTCACTGACCAGTAGGTGTGGGTTGACCTCATGGACTCAGTGAGAGGTCATTTTATACTTTCAACAACTTTCTGTGGTGCTTAGGTACTAAGTAGTGTATTTTCTAACATTTCTTAGCCTGAAAAAGAGGACTAACTTCCAGGGAATGTCTTGAGCCCATGGATTATCTAAAGCCAAATTGCATCTCTGTCTCTCATGAAAGCGTAGCAGGTAAATTGCCCTTTCCTCCACAGTAATGTTGTTTTACTTACTAAGAATTAAAGATCAGTTGAACTAGATTGGCACATCTTAAGCATGTACCACTTCAAACATAGGGACACACAAATAGAGCAGGTATTTGACTGGTGATACGTGGTCAAGATAACTTTGGGTATAATCAGAATGAATCTTATAGGACCTTTGTTCAATCAGCAAGGGGTAGAGATATTCCAGTATCTTCCAAATTATTCCCTGAATCACATAATGTCTTTAACCAGTGGTAGGGCTGCCCATGACGGATGAAACAAGACTGGTGAATTTTGTAAATATTTATTATTTTTAAACTTTCACGTGTGTTTTTTGTTTTTCTTTTTTGGGGAAGGATGGGGTGAGGGGAGAATCTGGATGTCAATGACTGCACGTATGAGAGGTTTAAAAATACTCGGGGTAGCCCTAATTCTACACCCAATGAAATCAGAGAGAACTCCCATTTCCTACAGTATGTGAAAGCCATTACTTGCAGTTTCTGAAATGCCACCCTACAAATGAACAAACTGTGTCTACTGAGCAGTAAGTGATTGCCACCTTTCATTTATCTTTAGGATCAAATGAAACATAAGCCGCTATTGGCTAAAATTTATGCTCTGAATTACTTGTGTGAAATGATATAGTTGTCTTATTCTAGTTCCGGATGAGCCAATAGTCATTGTACCAATGCATCTTGAATGACAACAGGAGCCAATCGCGCATTGATCTGTTCATGTTCATATAGACTCCCAATTATTCAAAGCAGTTGATGAGGCTTAGGCTATTTGCCTTTTTTAAAAGACCTCCATGTTGTGTATATGTACTTGAAGTAAACATGCATTGAAATGGCACTAACAGACCACCTTATTAAAAGTTTCAGGAGCATAAACATTAGAGGTCGTCATGCTATGAGGTGTAAACTGATGACTACCACACATGGCATGGACCTATGCAGTTGATATGGTGTGACTTTTGTTGCACGCACAAAACCCTATGTTTAAAAAAAACCAACAACCTTAAGTTTGCGAACTCAAGGACTAAAAATTCCAGGAAGCCAAAATTAAAATGGCCTTTGTAACAGCAGTGTAGCTCCCTTGTGTATATGCATTATGATACAGTCTTTAATTAAATGGTCTCCTACTATTTTTTTCCTGTAAGATCTGTCTCATTCAGTGGGCATAATAGACGGTGCTTAATTAATGAACAGGTTATTCAGTATTTTGTCTTATCCTTATTGTATGTGTGTGGTTTAGGGCTACTTACTACCTGCTGTTCCAAATTTCTTCTGATGATAGAATTTTCTCATGGTGGTACTTATCATTATCATATCCAGGGGCTTCCCAAACATAATTGAGGCATAGACTGTCTGTGATTTCCCACACTGGGTGTTTATTTGCAGCAGCTCTCTACTCTTAAGTAACTCATGACCATTACCTCCATTCCATTATACAAAAGTGTACAGGACTAAGGAAGCTCACTTACAATGTGTATATCATCCTTCATCTTGCCTGCCCATGATAACATCTCAACTGCAAACTTACATGATAAATACAACTTCCTAAATAATTTAAAACTCCTGCAAATATCCATTCTGTGTCATTAAAACAAAAATAAAATGAAAACAAGACTGTGAAAGCACAGACAAGATGTGGCATTTTGTGTCTTTTCACTGTCAAGTTCATGGAAATTCAAACTGAAGAAAACAGGGAAGCAGATGTTTTCCCCTGCAGCTCTTACTCTTTCTCCTTTGAGCAATGTCCCAGTATTCCCAAAGCGCACACTCGCTCGTTCACCCTTTGAATTATACTGAGCGGGATCTACCTTCACCTGCCCTGCAGTCGCATATGCGACTTGCTATTCTAAAACATCATCACATTTCCCAAATTTTACAACCTTTTAACCTTTAAGCACCAAATGTAATTTAAGGGTGTGGACAGATGTAACACTTAGACCAGTTTGAATGTTGTTTAAACCTCTAGTGTCCAGACTTACAAATCAGTTTAGAATGGTGTAGACTGGTTCACTGTGAACTAGGTCAGTGTTATGTGCAGACACCCAACTTTCCATGACTAGTGTGGTTAGTCCTCCAGGCATCCTACACTGCAGTGCCCCTCAACCCAACCCAACCTTTACAGGGCAACTGTCTCCTTTGATATGCAGCCAAAACTACTGCCTCAACCTCTGTTGCTGGCACTTGATTGAAGAAATCCCTGGGTTGGGGCACTGGGAGCAGCTGTCTGCCACTTTTAAAGAACTGGTCAAATTCTTTCCTTTGGTGGCAACGGGCCAGGGTTTTATGTATACCAGGCTCATTTGGAGTGGGAGGTGGCCTTGGGGATGTGGGGTGTGCCTGGGGGGTTGGGGGCTCTGGGGACGCTGCCCAAGGATTCCACTGCCGTCAATGGAAGGAAACTGGCCAGCTTTTTTAAAGCAGCAGAGCCCCCAGCTACCAGGCACACAGAAGCAGGCATCCAGACAACTTCCCCAACCTGACTACCCCCTCCACCCTTGCTCCTACCCTACCTGCCTGGTATGCATTGAAAACTGGACAGTTTCCATTAATTGCAGTAAATTAATGAGTGACTTGGAGGAAAGCGCTTTTTAAAACCACAAAAGCTGTGGAATTTCTGGAGCCCCCAGCTCCTGGGACCCCAGACGCAGGGTCTAGGTAGACTCCCAGCCCTACGCACACATCTAGGCACTCCCACTCGGTGAACTATCACCCAGATTTTAGCAAAGTGCAGGAATGGGTCTTTATTGAACTTGGAGAAGGGGGAGCAGAAAATTGTAATTGGGCCGCTTCTACTTAAAACCCTTAACTGTGTACACACAGACAATTGTGAGCCAGTTTCCAATCAGTGACATTGTCGGAATGGTTCACACGTTATGTCCGTCCACACCTTAATGCTGTTCTTTTATTTACCTGCTGTTAAACCTAGAGACCATACTTGCTTCCCACCTAACTGTTGACAGTCTCAAGACTCTGGGATGCAATACATGCTATAACCTTGAAATGAGACGTAGAGGATCTTGTGAGGTGTATCACATTCACCTCCATTATTTGATCACTTGTGGAGTTCAGGTAGAAGAATTTGCAACTCTTGCCAGAGGCCCTTCCAGATTGCTTCATATCACAGTCACATGCCTATCAAGCTGCTTTAGCTTACTCCCTCCACCTCTTATTACAACTGTGCTAACGCACTGAATGCAGATAGCGTAGAATGGTGCTGCAGCTATTCTCATTGGTTATTACCAGATTTTAGAGTGGCAGAGTTCAGGCTGTCGGGGTGTGTAAGTTAATGCTTTGATTCCTTGTCTTCCTGTGGTTTGAGTTTTACTGATTTAGTGTTCTGGATGGGCATAGGATACCACTGGGCAACCTCAAAGGGATTTATTATTGAACTCATTACTCATCTTCCAGCTACTAATTTCTGCCACAAAGGAAGAAGGAATCTACAGAGAAGTCTCCTTTCCTGCAAGTTCCTGAGTCAATGTACATGCGTGTGCATGTACATTGTTGAAAAAATATAAATGCTGGAAGAGTGGCTTTATTCTTCTCCTCTTACTGTTTATGAAGGAAAATTATTTAGACAATGTTCTATTTACATAAGAAAGATCTCTTGTTCTCTTTACATAAGAAAGATGCCCGAATTACTTAAGTAGAATTATTAATGTTAGAAAAAGCAATTGGGATTTGACTGTCTGCTGTACTGTTAATTATTGACTTCCAGATTCTCAAATATTCTTCCCTTCCCTTGTTGTCCTTGGAATGTTATTGATTACTGAAAATGGCCTAGAAGGTTAGATGATTGCTTTTATTGAGGGCCATGCCATATAGCTACTTCACACTAGAAGTCTGCACTCCTTGTGGAAAAGGGTAATTGCTAATTTCCATAGTCAGTACGTAGAATGTGAATTTCCCTAAAGTACATTCTGGACTGCTGCTCCTGATGACAGTAAATTTATTTTTATGCCATTTTGTCATAGTTCAGAAGCCACCCAGACAGCTTTTATGGTATATTTAATTAATATAATTACAATTATATTAATTATTTTAATTACCATTTAATATTAAGAACATGATGCAAATAAACATGAATTAAGCT